GGTGCTCACAAAACTAGAAATCTATTTGCAGAAGAATGAGACAAGATACATATCTCACACCATTCTGTTGTGTAGATGTACCAAAGTTTGCTTAACCAGCAAAATGAACTCAACATGGATTAAAGACCTAAATGTAAAATCTACAAGAGATCATCAATGAAAAAATCAAAAATGAACTCAACATGGATTAAAGACCTAAATGTAAAATCTACAAGAGATCATCAATGAAAAAATAGGAACAAACTTGACTTTGATTTTGTTGTTGTTATGTGCCGTGGAGTTAGTTCCAACTCATAATGACCCTGTCCAGGGTTTCCGAGGCTGTAAATCTTTACAGGAACAGAAAACCTCATCTTTCTCCTGTGGAACAGCTGGTAGTTTCGAACTGCTGACCCTGAGGTTAGTAGCCCAATTCGTAATCACTATGCTACCAGGCTTTGATACATGGCATAAATACACTACCAAACGTAACTGAAAATACACAAACAGCAGAAGACAAAGGCTTGGGACATCCTAAAAATGAAGCATCAAAAGATTTCACCAAAAGCATAAAAAGAGAACCCACAGACTGGAAATTTTTTTTTGGCAATGATGTATCAGACAAGAGACTTCTCTGTAAAATTTACAGAACACTTTAATACAACTAAAAAGAAAGGCAGAGGACATGAACAGACACTTCACCAAAGAAGACATTTAGGTGGCCAACAAACATATGAAGAAATGCTCATGATCTTTAGCTATTAGAGAAAGGCAAATCAAAACATTAATAAGATTAACATCTTACCCCAGCATTAATAGCAAAGTTAAAAAAAACAAAAACAAAACCAGAAAACAACTAATGTGTAACCACTGTGGCACGGAATTTTCTCAAAAAGTTGGAAATAGAAATACGGAGAGACCCAGCAATCTCTCTATTTGGCATATATCCTCAAGAAATAAGATCCGTAATACCAATAGATACACACACACCCATGTTCATTGCAGCACTATTTGATATAGCAAAAGACGTAAACAGTCTAAATGCCCTTCAACAGACTGGTTAAGCAAACTTTGGTACATACACATAACAGAATGAATACTAGCCAATGTTGAAGAATAAGATGAATCTGTGAAACATCTCACAACATGGATGACCCTGGAGGACAACAGGCTGAGTGAAATTAGTCAATCATAAAAGGACAAATACGCTATTAGACCACAGTTGTAAAAAGTTAAGAAAAGGTTTTCTTGACCAAAGAAACATTTGACGATGGCTACCAGGAGTGAGAGAGAATGAACAATTATTCACTGGCTAGAGGATTGTTGTTTAGGAGCTCTGGTAGCGTAATAGTTACAAATTGGGCTGCTAATCTCAAGGTCAACAGTTCGATACTACCAGCGGTTTCACAGGAGAAAGATGAGACTTTCTGCTCCTGTAAAGATTTACAGCCTTGGAAACCCTGTACAGGGTGGTTATGAGTCGGAATCAACTCGACAGCAAACAACAACAGGAACAAGGCGGACTGTTGTTATTGTTAAGTACCATAGAGTTGACTCTGACTTATTGGTGACCCTGTATAGGTTTCTAAGGAGTGGCTGGTGAGCTTGCATCAACAACTTTGTGGTTCAAAGATACCTTGGAGTCCAGCGGCGCATTAACCCTCAGCACCACACCAGGACTCCAGCTAGAGGGTAGACATGTCTTAACTTGGGTGACAGGGAAAGCAATATGCAAGATGGAGGTTGGCAGAAGAAAGACGAAAGTAAGGGAGGGCAAAGGAGGGAGTGCAAGAGTTAAAGGACTAGAGGTAAATACTGTTAATTGAGAAACCCTGGCTATGTAGTGGGTTACATACAAGTTGGGCTGCAAACCACTTAGAATCTTCTAGCCACTCTGCAGGAGACAGAAGACTTACATCCTACAGAAACCCTATACAGGTTGGAATTGCCTCAGTGGCACACAACCACCTCCACTGTTAACTGATGGCACATGGAGGTGGTTGTAATCACTGACATGAAACAAAGTGATTTGTTGAATGTAAAACTGATGATTTGCTCACTCAATTCACAATAAAAAGCTTTTAAAAAAAGTACAGAAAAATGTATGCATAAGGGATGAAATGCTTTTGTTACTGGGTTTGGGAAAACAGGCCAATACCTTCCAACCAATAGCCACAAAAAGAATTTCAATTGCATAAACCTTAAAATAAGGAATAAGCAAATTACACAGCACAGTGAAGCTCACATTAACATCTAACTAATTCTCTGTAAACCAAAAGGCAAAATTCACATTTGCAGACACCACTACTGAATACAAAGTTTCATTAATTTCCCATTCTATGCTCAATATTAAAATCATAGAAAGTTGTAAAGTTCAAAGATTTAACTTGAGAATGTGCTTTCAAACTTCTTACCAGTGACTATTTCTAGAGTACATAAATAAAAACGGGGTAGGAGGATAGATGGAGACAGAATGATGAGGATATACAGTTTATTTACATTTGCCTTGCTTAGAACTATTTTATAACAAATGTTTAACCTTTGTCAACGTTTTTTTAAAAACAAAAAACTGACACTCCAATTTCCCTAATCCAGAACTAAAATGAAGATCTACCTACCTATGACTAAAATGCAGAATAATCATTAAAAATTATTTCTCCATTTTTATATATGGTGGTGGTGGTTGTGTGTTGTGGAGTTGATTTCGACTCATAGTGACTCTACATAGGGTTTCTGAGGCTGCAAATCTTTACAGGAGCAGAAAACCTCATCTTTCCCTCGCAGAACAGCTGGTAGTTTCGACCTGCTGACCCTGATATTAGCAGCCCAACTCATAACTAATACGCTAAGAGAGCTCCTTATTTTTACATATAGTTTGTATATTAAAGTATAATACACTTACAGAAAGGTACACACAACTGTACATCTCAATAAAAATTCACACCCATGGTACCAATGCCTAGGTCAAAAAACAGAACATCACTGTCAGCCCACCCCATCCCCCCCATTACCACTCAGGCCCCTCAGTCATTTCTCTCCCCCAGGAATAGCTACTATCTGTATTTCTCAGAGATGAATTTTGCCACTAACAATTTTCTTCCCATAGTCTCCCAATTTTACGTGTAAAAAAATTTCTATTTTGCCAAATTTAAAAAACAGAGAAACAATCATTCCTTCATTCAACAAATATTTATTGAGTATCTATTATGTACCAGTTATTAAAATGTGAATCAATAATTTTTTTTATTGCATTAGGCAATAAGTAATTCTTTGGTTAGGCATTACAAGGAATACTACAACATTTTAAAAAATACCATACAGCATAATTAAAGTATTTATTATAATACTTACTTGTAACAAAAACTACATGCAATGTTTCATATAACAATATCATATAAAAGTAATCTTGGCCTAGGACAATTTTCTGACACAATCCATTAAGGCATTTAATATTTCAAAGAATCAGAATCTTAGAGTCAAAAAAGGCCTTGGAAATAAAACCTTCTTCTAAAATAAGAACTCCTTCCAAGATTTTACTGAGAAATAGGCATCCAACCACTATTCAACACTTGCACTTTGAGAAAGCTTCATACTTTGCAAGGAATCTTTACTCATATATGTTACAGAGCTATTCTTTAACATCATTTCCTTCTAACTACCCTCTCCCAACTGAGTCCCTCGTCTTCCACATTATGTTGCTGTTGTTGCTAATTGTCACCAAGTCAGGTCTGACTCATAGAAACCCTACATAGACAGGGTTTCCAATGAGTGGCTAGTAGGTTTGAACCAATAACCTTATGGTTAGCAAGTGCTTATTCTAGAGTGCCACACCAAGTTGTCATGTTTTTTCACTTAGCCTTCTTTTTTCCAGCCTAAATATCTCCAGCCATTGTACTAGTCTGGAATCCATCCACTCAATAAATATTGAATGCCTTACCTTTGGGGCTGGGGATATAGGAATGGAAAAAAAATGGCCTTTGTCCACGAGGTTAATTATTTAGTGGGAAAGCCAAATTCTAAGCACATAATTTCATATACACACATGACTGAAAAAAATCTATGAAATAAAGAGCAGACATTATAACATAACTTTTATATACATATAAATATACATATATACATACATACAACAAAAGTGCCAGATGAAATGAAAGTAGCAGTGACAAGGGGGATTCACCTGAGAACATGACATGTAAGCATGAGAACGTGGCAGTGCCAGTCAGAGTTGAGAGGAGACAACAGGCACCGCCCTGAGCAAAGGCCCCGACTTGAGATAAACAATCTGGTTTACACATGAGGCCAGGAGAGGTACATTAGACACTGCCGAGATATAGACAAGGCCAGCGAGATCGTGTGGGGTGTTGACACTATATGTAAAATTCCACATTATATCCTATATGCAGCAAAAAGGCAGTCTTAATACCGTTTGCCATCTATTTTTTTGGCTAGCTGCATTCTAATTTCTACATAGCTCTCAAAATGTTCAAGTAGCATGTTCAAGATGTGAGCTTTCAATAAAACTGATTGATATATTGTTTCTTGTTGCTTAGTGCAAAAGAGTCAGTTCTGACTTTTAGTGACCCTATATGGGGATTCCAAGGAGTGACTGGTGGGTTTGAACCGCCAACCTTGTGGTTAGCAGTCCAATACTTATCCTACAGTGCTTATCCACACCTGGACTCCACACTTTCTTATATAGCTATACATCACAATTAAGTTTTATACTTAGGTATCACTATTCATTTAAACAAAACAGAAATGCTTTTCTGATGAACTACTGACAAATCATATCTCCCCCATATTTTTGTAACTCAACATTCCCACAACCAAACTGTAGGGTTTTACATACATTAAATTAGAAAAATGTTCTTCCTTTGGGACAAATTTAATAGCAACAACACATATGTCATGTTCTCTTTAACTTGGTTCTTACCTTATCTTTTATTCTTTTTCCATAATATTTATAAATCCTTTCTTACAATGCTCCTTTATTGGGACTTCAGATTGTCAATGTGACTTACCTTCAACAACATCCCTTTTGTAATCACTGTCATTGTCACTATCTGTTGGCCGGTAATATATATAAAATCCTTGAATGGGAGTGTTATTATTACTTGATGGAATGTACTAAAAAAGAAAAAAAAAAGACACAAAGGCATGTCTAAGACGAAAATAAACGAATTTCCACATTCATTAAGATTTATTTATCTTTGTGGTAATGTTTTTCTAGCTTCATTTTTAAACATCATTGATGATCATTTAAAATTAAATATACTAAAAGGTACTAAGAGTACTTAACTTATTGGAGAGCTGAACAAAAATAAAGCAACATACTCCAGTAGGTATAAAAGAACATTTCGTTTAAAATGAAAAACAAATGACCGCATTTGGATGAAAGCCAAGGAAGCAATAATTCAATTTTTAACCCTGTCTCATTTATAATCTGTGCTTTTAGACAAATAGTTGTATCCTTTAATTTTTACTCAATTGAACTTGAAAAAGTTGCTGTTATCAGTTTTGTATTATGAGGATAAATTCATTTTTAAGATGACCAAAACAGACCATCTTCTAATTAGACAAGATGTTTTACTCACGGTCCACTTCAGCATGATCTCAGTCTCACTGACAGCTTCAGTGTATGCAATGTGAGGCCCAGTTATTGGACGGTTGGAAAATCGATTAGAAAACCCAGCCACCTGATAAGGTCGAGAAGCCGAACTCCTAAAGCTTTCACCATAATGGTTGATGGCAATGACCCTGAATTTGTATGTTGAACCTTTTGGAGGGAAACAATAAAACCCATAAGATTTTTAATTTAAAAGCTGCAAGAAGACAACAGACAGTAGAATACTCAAAATATAACAACAGTACGTAAGTGTTGACCTCATTATTATAAAAACAATAAAGTATTTTAAAGCCTGTACAATAACTAGATTTCAACATACTTTCTAACTTCAATCAATTGGTAGTAGCTTTTCATTGTACTGCATTCAGGGTTCTGAGACCACAGCAGGACTCACTGGGAAGGAATACATAAACTATGAAGAGTGGCCACCATGGATGGGATAGGTTGAGAATAGGAAAGATGCAGCATATGTTCTCTTTTTATTACATTACTCTAAACTCAGGCTCATCAAATACAGTATTTACGGTAGTGTCTAGAGGAGTGCAACAGCTCTGTAGGATAAACACTGGACTGCAAACCACAATGTCAGTGGCTCGAGCCCACCAGCCACTCTACAAGAGGCAGATGCGGCTTTATACTCCCACAAAGATTTACAACCATGGAAACCCTATACAGGGTCACTATGAATCAGAATCAACTTGACAACACTTATCAACAAGAACAAAATTGTTGTATCTGTCCTCAAAAATAGGTTCTTTGTGCTTTGGAAGAAACAACTGAAGCAAAGTTCAATATGATGAATACATTTATGAAGAGACTCTGTGTGGGTGATAGCAGATATTGCTCTGATCACACTGATAGTGGACTCCTGCAGTGGCACTGTGGATCAGCACAGCACTGGACTGCGAACAACAAGGTTGTTGGTTCAACAACAACAACAACAAGGTTGTTGGTTTACAGCTGCTCCTTGTAAAGCTTATACAGGGTCGCTCTGAGGACATTAACAACATACTAATAATAGGATAAGGGGAAGCAGATTTAAACTACAACACAAGGTATTTACCTGGATTACAGAGTAAGAACTGAAGAGAAAAAAGCAACTTTAAGGATAATGAGATTCTGAAAATCTGAAGCTAAAGAATAAATTAGAATCCTAAAGTATGTTCCTGGTAGTTCATAAACACTCTGAGCTTATCAAGACAGTGCTTCCGCCTATAAAATGTTACTTAACTTAAAAATGTCACTTTCTTCCAACTCTACCCTATGTTCCTATGCTCCATATATTGCTTTTTTTGAAAAATACAGACATTTGCTAATAAAGTACATTTAAAACTCCATAAATCATGAAACCTAAAAAGAAAGTTTATTTGTGATTGCTGTGCTATTCTTTCCAGGTTTAATTTCTTTCCTATCATCCCAAGGCATGGGGTGTGGTTACTGTTGTGAAGAGTTGTTGAAGCAGTTCTGACTCATAGCAACCCTGCACAGGCTTTCCAAGGAGCAGCTGGTGAGTTTGAACTGCAGACCTTGTGGCTAGCAGTCTAGTGCTTATCCTACAGAACCACACCAGGGTGTGGTAGAAGTAGGAGAACTTCCTCTGCTGAAACAAAATTGACAAACTAGAGAAATGTTAAGTATTGAATCATTTCCCAAAGACTAAGCATTTACTGAGAAGATGAAAGACTACAGCCTTCAGTATGAATTACACCTCAACATAAAGAAAACAAGGATCCTCAGAACTGGACTGAGAAGCAACTTCATGGTAATCAGGTAAGAAACTGAAGTGGTCAAGAGTTCATTTTATTTGGATCTACAATCAATGACTAAGGAAGCAGTAGTCAAGAATCAAATGATGCATTGCAATGGGCAAATCTGCTTCAAAAGATCTTTTTAAAGTGTTAAAAAGCAAATATGTCACTTTGAAGTCTAAGGTAGGCCTAAACAAAGACATGGTCTTTTCAATACCCTCATATGTTCCATCCATGTCATTAAAGTCAACTTTACTTAAAGGAAGCTGATCTTCCCCAGTCATGTTGAGTGCCGTCAAACCATAGGGTTGCTTCTTCCAGCACTGTATGAGTTAACGTTCCAGTGTTATTCATAATGTTTTCAGTGGCTATTCACTCAGAAAAGGGACATCCTCCTTCTTCCTACTCTGAGTCAGGAAGATCCACTGAAACCAGTCCCCCAAGGGTGACTCGACTGGTATTTAGAATGCCAGTGGTACAGCTTCCCTTCCAGCATCATAGAAACTCACAAGCCACCACAGTAGGGCAAACTGGCAGATGAGTGGTGGAAGGGAAGGGTTTCCAAGGAGCAGCTGGTGAGTTTGAACTGATGACCTTGTGGTTCAAGCTGACCTATTGTTCCAGTGTTTACTCAACAGGACCACAGCAGGAAGGGTTAGAGAGATGGAAATACTGCCTTGTACAATAAGCTTAGATGGAGAGAATGTCAAGGAGCAATAGCTTCGGATACTGCTACAGTAATAATGAGAGTGCTGAAAAGGAAATTAGGAAAGCAATACCATTTACAGTAGCCACCATAGGAAGAAATATTTAGGAATAAATGTAATCAGAGAAACAAAGGACCTAAACAATGAAACTATAGAACACTACTACAAGAAACCAAAAGAGACTTACAAAAATGGAAGAATATACCAAGTTCCGGGATAGGAACACTTAACATTGTGAACATGTCAATACTATCTAAAGCAATCTACACATATAATGCAATCCCAATCCAGATTCCAATGACTTCTTTAGAGAGATGGAAAAAACAATTACAAACTTTATATGGAAAGGAAAGAGACCCAGGATAAGCAAAGCACTTCTTAAGAAGAAGAACAAAGTTGGAGGCCTCTCACTCTCTGATATCAAAATTTACAACATGGCTACAGTCGTCAAACAGCCCGGTACTGGTACAAAAAGATACATAGATCAAAGCAACAAAGTCAAGAATCCAGAAATTAACCCATCCACAGACAGCCAACTGATGTTTGACGAAGAGCCAAGGTACACTGAACGGGGAAGACATAGATGGTACCGGCAGAGCTGGAAATAGATATGCGAAAGATTGAAACAAGACTTTTATCTTATGCTATATACAAAAAACAACTCAGCATGGGTTAAAGACCTAAATGTGAATCCCAGAATTATAATATAGGTCATCAATGAAAAAACTGGGATAAATATAAGGGCTCTAATACAAGGCACATACAGACTTCCAAACATTGTGAAAATTACACCACCGAAAGAAGCTAAAATAGATGATTGGGACATTCTAAAAATTGGAAACTTAAGTGCATCAAAGGATTTCATCAAAAGAGTAAAAAGGGAGCACACAGAATGGGAAAAAAATCTTTTGCCATGACATATCAGACAAGGGACTCATTTCTAAAGTATATAGGAAACTACAACACCTCTACAAGAAAAATACAAATAACCCAATTAAAAATTGGGCACAGGACATGAACAGACACATCACCAAGGAAGACATTGGGGCAGCCAACAAACATAGGAAGAAATGTTCATGATCATAAGCCAATAGAGATGCAAATCAAAACAACAATGAGATATCATCTCACACCAGCAATAACAGCAAAGTTCGAAAAAAGCAGAGGACAATAAATGCTAGCAAGGATCTGGAGAGAGTGGGACTCTCCACATTGTGGTGGGAATGCAAAATGGTCGAACTACTCTGAAAAACAGTATGGTGTTTCCTCAGAAAGCTGGAAATAGAAATACCTGAGGATCCAGCAATTCTTCTACTTGGTATATATCCACAACAAATACAAGCCATAACACAAGTAGATATACGCACACCAATATTCATAGAAGCACTATTCACAATAGCAAAAAGATGGAGACAGTCTAAGTGCCCATCAATCAATGGAAGTATGAATAAATAAACCTTGGTACATATACACAATGGAATATCTTGCTACCTTGAAGAATAACAAGGAAGCTGCAAGCCACTGGATAACATGGTTGAACCTTCAAGACATTATGCTGAGTGAAATCAGTCAGTCACAAAAGGAGAAATACTGCATAGGGCCATTACTATAAAAGATTAAGAAAAAGTACCCACACTAAAAAGGGAAAAAATTTTTTTTTCTGGTTACTGGGTTTTATGGGGTGGATAAGGGGAGGGAGAGGAAGGTGGAGCACAGGGTAGGGAATAGACATAGGATAGTTTGAGTGCTGGGGCGGGCAATACACTAGAAGATAGAGGGAAATGGAAGAAGAAGGCAGATGGGAGAACAAGGAAGCTGCAAGCCACCACATAACATGGATGAACCTTGAGGACATTATGCTGAGTGAAATTAGTCAGTCACAAAAGGACAAATATTGCATAAGACCATTATTATAAAAGCTTAAGAAAAGATATCCATACTAAAAAGGGGGGAAAAATATTTCCTGGTTACTGGTGGCGGTGGGTGGAGAGAGGGGGCGGTAGAGCACAGGATAGGCGGTAGACACATCATAGTTCAGGTGTTAGGGAGGGCAATACACAAGAAGAGTGAGGGGGTAGAAGAACAAGGTAGATAGGGAAACACTGAGACAGGTTTGCATGGGCTAAATGGGACAGCAGTTAATATTGATGCATGCTCAACCTTGGAACAACAGGGTTCTGTGATACAGGATTGAGGCATAGTGTGAAGAGGAGAAGTAATGCTAAGATGTTTGACTGTCTTATGAATATTGGTTTCCCTTGACTACTGATGTAAAATAGAAACTTGAGTGGGATAGAAAGAAATGTCAGGAAACATGATTACAGAAAGCTTGTAAGCTCATCCTCAGCCTATAACTGATTGGGTTTTAGAAGTTGCCCAGTGAAATAGGCCTCTTGTGGCACTTTTCCCATGTAGAGGACCTTAGGTGGAATCCTGAGCCCCATCCAGAACCTTCTGAGGTGGGACATTCCCACTAAAAAGAACAAGTAGACCAGCCTGGAACAACTAGAGCAATAGAAGACACATCTTCAAAGAAAGATCAGCAGGGAAAACCTGAAACAAAAAGGCAGTATGATTGGCTACTACAAGAACAGGCAAGTTGTTCGCGGGGAAGCCATCAAGGCAAGCAATCAAATCCCTTCAGGACAAACCCCCCCCAAGACTGAAACTCAAAGGGAACACATGAACAGGCATGTAAACTTGCTGGCAACCACATTGATCTACTGGTGAGTGGAAGAGAAGGAAAGGCAGCAATGAAGAAATAGGCTGAGTTCAACCATGTTCCACAGACTCCCATTGACCTGAAGATGAGAGAGAGAAAAGGAAGCGCTGGCTGGTCCAAAGTGTGGTGACAGCTGGGGATACCTGAGCCCATGGACAAGGACATAGCCACAGAATGCTAGAGCTGAGAGTGCAGCATCCAACTGATATGAAGTGAGGGGAGACATACAAGAACACCCAAACTTGCAGATAGTACCCATTTGATCTAACCTCAACAGCTTGATAATCAGAACTTGACTAGAGGAAGATAAAAAAAACAATTTTTGATAAAGGAAATGAGTGTAGATAGCTGCAGTTTGATGACCTTGACCTATACTTATGGATGTAGTAGCTCCAAATACCAACTGACAGGGAAGGAGTCTTCACATCAAGTATCAACCATATCCCCTCTGTATACAGGTAACTTAGATATTGGCTACCTAAAGTGAGGGGGCGATAAAGGCATGAAGTGACTGGCTTACAAGGTTTCAAGAGCGAGTTTACTTTAAAAGAGTGTGTTGGGGAAGATAGAGTTCCCACTGAATAGTTTTCATCTTGTCTAGAAGGGTCTGGTGAAAAGAGATGGAGAAAAGATTCTTATGATTCAATAGTGAATAATTGTCATTAAGACTAATTGTGACTGTCACAACTGTAAAGGTAGAGATTT